GTATTATGTAATTATGATGATATGCTTACCTGATCCCTCTACAATTTTGATGGCCTCGACGGTTAATGTCTTCTTCTTGCCCGAAGTTAACACTGTCCTATTCGGAATCATATATATTAGACATTTTCACACTGAGATCCGATTAAGTATACATACATGGATACATATAAATTAGCTATATCATGGTAATTGTTTAGCCTTGTTTTCGCAACTTGGTCATATTGTATATACGGGGAAAATGTGTGATTCGAAGAATCTCCTGAGATAAGATTGACGAGAAAACTTTCATTTAGTATGGAAGTACATAATGAAAAGATTCGTAGATCTAGCTCACCGGAAGACTGACTGATTCGCGTTGTATTGCAGCCGTTTGGCATTAATATGACGTTAAGGTCGATGCATCCTCCATCGTTTCGAGTGAAGATGGGTTGAGCTTTCGTTCGTCAAGTGACGAACATCCTCAGAGCTGGGACTCATTCTTGTAAAAGCCTCTAGTCAACACTAAGTCTTCTTGACTATTCACCCATATCGGGAACTGAGTCATCAGAAACTTTACAGCATAGTAAAAAGTAACAAAAGGCTAAAAATATCGAGCTTATTTCTTTTAAGATTTGCTATTGAGTCAATATAACTTAGGCTTTAACACAAAAGAGGAACAAATTTAACGATAGTATATCAGCAAAACCATCTAAATGTGGCTTATATTCATATGCGAAGCATTCATAGGTCATGAGATATGGGTGTGATCAGTGAACTCATGGTATGAATGATGTTTCATATGCGAGCTTAACCCCTTATGGTAATAAGCTTCTGGTTATTTTGGTTATTAAATTTTGGAGTTGTATATCAAGGCTTATGGCAATGCTTACAGATATGATAGCAAAAATACACCCTTCATCCTCAAAAGAATGACTAGGACATTGTACAGCCTCCGCCACTGTACGCTACTTTGTGTAAGATACTTTAGCTATCCTTCTGTTATGCTAACAAAGTTATCTATTCGGTATGCCTTGTTAAGGCAGGATATGATGTTCTTTAAGGGATATACTAAGACTTACATAAAGGGGGTTTCTAAATGTAGAATCCTTCCGATAATTGATTACGAATGATTGTCCTTACCTGAGTTATATTCAGTTTATAAGTCGATTTTAGAGACTACCAATATTTTATTTCGTTTAAGGTGATTAAGGACTGGTAGTTGAATTTTCCAAAACGATATAAGTAGTTATAACATTTTTATTAAATATGGCATAGCCTTGCTTCCCAGAAGGTATTCTTATCTAGGGTGGATTGCAGTTTCAACCTCGCACCACAGAAATGCGATATGAGAAATATCTAAGCTTCCTTGGAATTCACTTTCACCCTTTGACTTAGGGATACTCGTGGCAATATGGCGTAGTGGTTAATGTATCGAGACTGCGCTGCATTGCCCCTACTCGAGTCGTCCAGGAGTAGTCGAAGCTGCAATCCACTTTATCCTGGAGGAGAATACCTTTTTGGAAGCAAGGCTATGCCAAATTTTACGGAAATGTGTGGCCTACTCATACCATAGTAGAAAAAGTTAACTCTCCGTTTATCATCACCTTAAACAAAATATGGTGAATCCAGCTCTTATATTCGGAGGTTTTTTTGAACTCTGATTATCCAACTGATGTTTTATTTTGATGTCAAGATATACTTTCTCTTAAAATCTCTTCAGCGACCTAGCCGAGCTCATTGACTAATTGCAATGTGGTTTTACTCTTAACAATGTTTCAACTTTTTGCGACTATATTTCATTCAATTATATTTATTCCTTATTTCCAATTAATTTATTGAAATTAATTGTGATGTTAGGCATTATAGGAAATGTATAACTTTCTTATTCACCTCTTAAAATGTATCAAACATGAATACGGATTCTTGCTTCATTTAACTTATTATAATGTTTTATCAATCTGTGTATAGCCTACTCGAAGGAAACCACCAAAACACTTGGAGCCGCAATGTTTTGAAGGCAATAGGTTCTCTATTCAGCCAATCGTAGGTCCATTCTTATAAACATTCTTTCATATTAAATGCATTTTATTTTATCACATTATGCCTGAATGACGTTTTAGACAATTCTCTGCTAATTTAACAAGCTCATTTTCTCCTATTTTTATTAGTTCACTTTTTACTTATATTGCGTTTACTCTAGTAAATATTATGCTATCACTTTTCTGATTTAATTGCAATTTATTGTATGGGTTTATCCTTGTGATGTTATTATAATCGTTATTATATAGTTGTCTTACTATTTTTGCTAGCATAGCGTTCTAGCTTAATTTTGACGTTGATAAATTTTGGAACCGCTTAATTCAGTACATACTCTATGCTAGTATGCAAATCGACCACATGATACCTTTCAAACTTCGATAATTTATTTAAACTGTATATTTCCCAACTTACTTTATATGGGGAATAAAAATCCTCTTATTTAGTCAAACGTTATAGTTTCACGATCTGAGAATTAAATCGAATACTTTGGTTCCTCACTTTAATTTATATTGAACTATTTTTTTCGTTTAGGTCCAAAACCTCACCAAATTCAACTATCGCCACCGGAACAAACCGGCACCTATATCTGACGGCACACGCCAATGCGAACACACCTTTCTCGGGTAACACGACGCCAAATTCAACGAGCACCTCACTCACAAGCCCAGTTTCAGATACGGGGCACTCGATCCCGCAGTTGCGCCAGGTTGGGCCACTAGGCTTATCTGCGCCATATAATGACCAATCGCAGATGCTCTCAATTGGCAGTCAGGATACACCATTACTGACAACAGTTCCTTCTGCATCGTCAACTCGCTTTTCCCGTCCCCGTGAGGTCCGTTTTCCTTGGAGTATGCATACAACAAGCACAAAGTCTGCGGACGACGTGCTAAGGGCAATCCTGAACGCACTTAATGTTACTTCCGGGTGTCTTTTTGTCATTGACCCAAACTGGACCTTTCTATTGCATTGTTCATGGGCGCCTAATCGGCCTTCTATGGGTAGCCGGCGACAAGCAATGGCCAACAATGCATTAGCTGCCGCGGCTGCCGCTGCTGTGGCTGAAGCCACAACAGAAGCATCCAGTACTCCAGCTTCGGCAGCCTCACAGATTGACCCTACCACTATTTCAACTAATGCAGCCACCAAAGCTGCCGCCGAGGCAGTTGTGATGACTACATTGATGGCGGCTGCTACCACTATGACTGAGGCTGATAAGGCCACCGAATTTTCTAGCTCAGAAGAACCTGGATCTCAAAATTTGCCACAGACGTCTTGTTCATCCCCAGTAGCCGTTGCGGCGGCGGCTTCGGCGGCAGCATACGGCCCCCCAGTCTGCTCCGGTGTGAATCCGGATGATCCAGTACACTGGGAGATGGAGGTATGCCAGCTGCCTAGGGTCCATTTGCGCGGTGTCCGACTAAAGCGCATTCGCGGATCGGCTATGCAGTTCAAACAAGTGGCTGGGCTTGTAATGGCGGCAATGCATTTGTGAAGCAGCATATTCCCCATCCTCATCGCGACCACCCTCCACCGTCACTTATCAGTCTTCTTTTGATGATCCTCACTATCAATATACTCATAGGCCTCAAAAAGCATCGCCTTGTAAAACCCTTTTCTCCTTTAGTTTTATTTCCCTCATCTTTCATTCATTATAGGGAACTACAACAACCTTTCCGTATAGCTCTGTCCAGGCACCTCTTTACTATAAGATGCCCCTGACTAAATCGGCAATGGCCCTGTTCATGACCGTTTGCAAAGTAGCCAAACTTCTGATGAGACCAGACCACTTCCGTTCTCTTGTGCCTACACATCACTTTAAGACATATCTCTTCTGCATGAAACCCTGAATATCTTGTTTGAGACGCTTTGAGACATCTGACCGTTACTACAAAGCTTACTCCTTTCGTTTTCCTCAATACACACAATGAGCGTGAAGCTACACTTCTTTATCCATAGGTGCATATCTACTTCAAATTATATTACCACTCTCTTCCCAATCCTTTTAATTCTTTTTTTCGGGCGGTGGTACTCCATCATACTCATCAATTTCGACTATATATATATATGCGCCCCTGTACAGGTTTTATTTTCATCAATCTTGCATAAACTTCTCTTATTTCACTGTGTTTAACCATTTCCTGCACTATTGTTCCTCAGTATAAAACTAGCTCAACTTGTTCTTTTGTCCTTATAACCCTTCCTCACTTTCGCTTATCCTGTCCTTTTGTCCATCATCGAGCATCCACATTCATCGGAGCGTGCATAACATATCGCATTTAGATCTAGGCCATAGCATATACTCGAGTACACATGTACCCTGTCAATGAAGCCACGCATATTCATGCCTATGCTCACACATACCTATTTATATACAATCGCGAACCAATGTAGCCAGTATGAAGTGTGGGCTTGGGTTTGAGGATAATAAAGACCATTTTGTGTGCCATTTCTCATATGCTAATAGATAAATGTCAAACTATGATCCTCTATTTCGTCTTCATTATCTATTGTTCTTGCAGTATTACGCCTTAGGTTCCTCTACACTAGCCGTTCCAGTGATCTCTTCTGATATTTTGCTTTCTGCTGGCACATCATTTTATTTTTAACCTTAAATTTATAATGCTAACTCCATCCTATCTACTATATCCTCTTCAACCTTTTCTTGGCTCAAGTAAGTTATTTTTTACTTTCTCCCTATATGTTTCTCGTGTAGTTTCTCTTGTTCGACATCTTAATATCTTAGCTTAATCTTTATGCTCTATCTTCTTTTAGATGGTTTTCGTTCTTATATCTTCCACTTACCATGTTCCTCCCTATCTTATCACAAAACCGAGTACTTTCGTCGCTATCTCTGCTTATATTTAGTGGACATTGCCACAAGATTCGATGAGTTTTTATTTATCTATTTTTCCTATTCGCTTCATATTCTTTTCCTATTATTATTTCCATATAATCCCTGTTTTACCTCATACATTTTTCTTTGCCCACTCCATTACATATCTTTAACATGTTATCCTACAACGGTCTCATCACTTTCACCGACTGACTTGATGACACGTGCACCTCCTTCCAGGGTTCCCCTGTATCCTCATCTATCACCTATCCACCGTTTGGAAATGCTTGGGGCCTCACACATGTCCTCGTATCGACTGGAGAACAGATCTATTTTTGTAAATTTTTTGTTTTTTCACCCTTCATGCTGCCGTCTGCATATATATTTTCCATGGCGTTTAGCCCTGTGTGAGGAACTCTTTTCATATTAACACTGACTTCCTCTCACCCCTTGTCATCATTAAGTTTGCCTCAATGCACACGATTCTTTCGATCGTGCATACTTTGTGTACAGATCTTTCCTCTTCTGTTCTACATCCTCAGGCTTGAGGCTATAATATCGCCGTAACTGAACAACGCCAATCTCAATTTTACTGACGTCCTACATGGGTTGGAGGAACACGTAACGCATGGAACCACCGCCCCATTTTTTGGTGATGAATCAGTCCGCTTACTCATTCTGCATCTTTCTCGCTTTCGCCTGATTGCTCTATCTCTTGGAATCATCCTTTTTCTTTTCTGTCTTCTTATCTTATCCCTTGTTCTTTTCTGTCTCCTCATCTACTCCCTGGAAATCTTGTTAAATAATGTTCTCAATCCCTTTTTTTTGTTTCTGGTCTTCTACTCATCATCATTTTGTTGCTTACGCTTTCATATATCAATATTTCTATACTGTAGGCAATCAGCCTAGATTTCCAGGCATTTTATCTCCTCCCATGTTTTGCTCAACTGCTTAGCTAAATCTTTTCGACATATGGCCTACCAATAGCAATCTGGCTCGTCACTTATTTCCAACTGTTCTCCTTGCCGGCCAACCAGTAAGCTAACTCTTCCACCGCATATTCCCTGAAGAGATGTGATGCCTTTTAATCCCAGCCCAGTAACATCTCAGTCCATGAGCGAGTGAGCCATGGCATCCTTCAACTCCACAAGCACTCACCTATGCCTGCACTTGGCATGCGATCACAGTTCGTCTACATCTTTGCTAGCCGAGCAATTCTAAATTGAATTATGGCTATATCATTTATTCATGCGTGCCCACCTTTGCTGGCCATTTTCCACTGTCTCACTTCCATTCCCCTGCTCGCCGTCTCTTATATGATTAAATTTGTTTCAACAGGCACCCACTTGTTTTCATATTATCACTAGACTTACGAATGTACACACGCATGAGCAGAAGCACGTATCACATGCTCATATGCACGCGCCAAGCAACCAGGCTCATTCCTGCAGCACACATTCTGGTGTGAAACAGCAATCGAGCGTATCTGTGCACCTGCTAGCACAGCTTTGATCCCTTTTTTCTCTGATTAGCCTACAACAATTAGCCACTTATTTCATCTACCTGTTTGCTTGCTCGATCTGTCTGCTGTGCCCCCTACCTGAGAGGACGTCTTTCCTATCTCAAAAATTCTTGGGTAAGGGCGTATTGCCCTCTTTTCTTAACTTTGTTGATCATTTTCTGTCAAACTCTATCTTCTATCCTTCTTTCTTTCCGCGTGCTTGCTTTTCTTTGTCTCTGATTGTATGCTTGCTTCTTGTTCTTTTTTTTCTCTTTCCCTCCATCTGATAGTCTGTCCGCGGGCTTGTTTGTGTCTACACGGAATTCCTTCAGAAATTTGCGCGGATACTTGCCCGAATAATTTAAATGAAATACATATTCATTACTTATTTGCTCTTCTCTACTTCCAACTCATTGGGACAATGATTCGGGATAACATATTAGTTACTCCGAATGACAAGCTTAGGGCCCCCTATATGTACTGTTCTAGTTGTCCCTTTTCATTTTCCCTGTAATTTTGGATTTTTACGCAGATTCCGTATCGTTTTTTAAATTCATGAATGCTATTTTCCATTCGAATAATTAATGGTGATCCATTTTTACCGTGGATTTCTTAAAGTAGCCGTTTTTATTGGACTTACTAAAAAAAGACAGACGACCTCATGCCTCTGCAGTTACCAGTAAAATGAACAAAACGGTTCATTATAGAAAATATAATAGGCAATACCTAATTAGAAATAAATTGTAATATTTTATAGAAATACAATTAGATTATATAATTGGGTCTTCGAGGCTACCAGTAAATCAGTTATATGAGGTGTATTCACCCTATTTCGTTTAAGATGGTGAAGGCCTGGCAGTTGAATTTTTCCACAATGATATTAATGGAGCTGGCGCTTCCATTGAAGTTCAAATAGCCTTGCTTTCCCTAAAGTTGTTCTCATCCAAAGTGGACTGCAGTTTCAACCTTGCCAAGCTCTTATCAACACATCCGCCGGGAGTCGAATCATGAGAGTGCAGCGTGTGAGCTCGACACGCTAACCACTCCCCCACATTACCACGAGTGCCTTTGGGCTACGGGGCAGATGTGAATTTTAAGGAAAGCCTGGCATTTTCACATATCATATTCTTGGATAGGGTTACCGATGAAGTTATATTTGTTATGACAATCGACTAAATTACTTATTTTACGTTTATAAGTGGGGTTTCGCCTACTATCCGACGAAAAGTAAGCAATCTAGTCAATTGTTATAGCTAATATAACTTCTATTCAGCTATAATCCTAGCAAAAATTGTGATGTGGGAAAATGTTTACCTTTCTTATAATTCGCACGTGTCATGTGACGTAAGGGCACTCGTGGCAATGTGGCGAAGTGGTTAACGTGTCGAGATTAGGCGCTTCATTGTCATGGTTCGACACTGGTCGTGTTGATAATACCTAGGTGGGATCGAAACTGTAGTCCACCCTGGGTGAGAACACATTTTGGGAAGTCAAGGTCATATGATATTAAGTGGAAACGTCCTTGTGGGAAAATTCAACTACCAATCCTTTATCAAATTAAACGAAATGATGTGAATGCATCTCACATAACTGTTTTATTGTAATGAGATGGTAGTCTCGAAACCCTACTTTAATACGAATATGTTTTATTGTAGTCTCAAAACCCTAATTATAAACGAGAAATATTATTAAATTATGTCAATTTCTATTTTTCCCTATCCTCCCCAAGTGCGTCGTTATCCTAGGTGGACTAGTTTCGGTCGAATCTAAGTCTTAAAAATTCCCTGGTGAATTCTTTCTCTTGTGACCGCAAGGTCAAGAAAGATTTGCGAAAAACTGCACATATGCTCAAATATAAACGTATCAAATATTCATCAGTATATGTACGTTTTTTTCCTCAGTGTACACTTAAAATTCTCGCAACAATGTGTATCAAGGGATAATTTATCTGTGGTCTAATAAGGGATATTGACTTGCTGTACTCGCATTTCTGGGTGGCCCTGTTTGCAGCTTGCTGGGACTAAGAGTTCTTCAGCATAATTACCTAAAAGGGCCCAGTTTCAGATGCGTATGCGTAGCTAGGCTAGCAAAGACGCCTAGAATTTGCTTGCACATTAGACAGCAGTAAATGTTGCACAAGAATTTTTTAAATCAAACT